AAATCACTTCTCCAAGTGGCTCTCACAAACAAACCATGACCGATGCATGATGAACATTGACTCCTGCAACCAGGGCGTGGCACCATATGTCCTTTTATTACCAAAAGATGCCACTAACGAGCCCCAGCTGCATTGTCAATCTTGCATCCCGAAAAGACTCACAGGAGACTTCTGCTGAGTCACAACAGTCTACTATATTTACTTCTCACCCCTGTGTGTAGACACCATCCATAGTTGCCTTTTACTTTCCTTTTTAAAAGTTTCACAAGTAGACTTAGACTTACAACCATTGGAAATATGATGGTGCTAAACAAATGGTTACAATGGTCTTCAGAGTTCTTGCTGTCATACACACCCATGTGGTCATGTGATCACAGTCTGGGTGCTTGGCAATCGGTTTGTACTTACAATCATTTACAACATCACGTGATCATCATTTACAGTCTTCCCTGTCAGCTTGTCCACTGACTTTGGTTACGGGAAGCTGGTGAGAAGTCGCCTCACCTAATAACTCTGGGATTCATGCTTAATGACCATATTGCTTAGGAGCAGAAATTCTGGTTCCAATTGCCATTGTAAGTTGAGGGCTCCCTGTATATGACTTGCAGCTTTTAGATGCTATTTATTCTTTCTATTTGCCGTTGCAGAGAAACTACTAAACATTATTTCTTTTTAAAATTATTTCTGTCTTAAGAATTCAGATAATTAGTAATTAAGGGTATAGCCTTCCAGTTTTGGACTGCTTTTACTTGTGTCCCCACTTCTTAATGTCAAAAAAATTCCTTTCGTCAACCATCATAAGTTGTAATATAATTTTAATATTCAACCGTACACTGCCCCGGCTATTATGAAAAATTCTAATTCGTTCAAGAATTCTAAGATAGGGCCACAGAATTTAAAATATATTTCAGGTCAAGGTTGACATTCTTGAAAAAGAAGGAAAGCTTTTCTGTGAGAAAATATGAATTTTCCTAGGTTTCATTGAGATTGCTTGAAAACTAAATTAAAATGTAGCTTCTTTTTATTTGTAGTATAGAGCCTAGTTCACCAATAAGTGCCTAAGGTAAAATTAGGTGGCAAACAGAGCTTCTGTTTCTCTTTGCACTATATCTAAAATGCCATGGCCTGGGTGTGCAAAAGTGTTTCAGACTTCCCTTTATTCATGGGTGTAAAATATTTGCAGTGTTTGAACAATTCCACAATGCTTTTAGTATTTATAATTGCATTGTTATGCATATGATTAGTTTATTGATGTGAGATCAAGTTTGTTTTCTTTTGATAACTGGTGCACAAAAGCATTTGTCTGACTTGATGCTTTGGAGGGGCAAGGGGCAGAAATATGTAATTCTCTGACAGTATTGTTTTTATTTCAGGAACTTAGTGACTTGGCTCGTGACCCACCAGCTCAGTGTTCTGCAGGCCCTGTTGGAGATGACAGTAAGTTGTTAATAATAAATACTGATTCTTTTAAACAGGTTCTTGTAAACCAATATGGTTTGGGGGTTTTTTTTTGGGGGGGGGGGAGGATTTCATGAACATTTAAATAACATTTCCCCCCCCCCTTTTTCTCTTCCCTTCTCACTCTGTTATTCAGTGTTTCATTGGCAAGCTACAATTATGGGTCCTGTAAGTACTGCAATTTTATTAACATTCATTCTAAAGTCAGCTGTTCAAAAGTTATTCCAGAAACACATTATTATGTTATATGTGATATAAAATTTACAGCTTCTTAAAAACACTTTCAGTAAGATAGTTTCTTTGTGTAACACTGTATCTGTGAAAAACTATAATGACTTCTGTACCGTATTTTTCGAAGATGCCGCAAGGTTTTGAAGAGGAAATTTAAAAAAAAAAGTTTTTGCACTCTGCAAACGTCCCAAAAATGGCCCATTTTTCATGAAAATGGTCCCATTTTTTTTCAAAAAAAGGGGCATGAATAGCCCCCCGGAGGCTTTATAGAGTGTTCCTGGGAGGTTGGGGGAGGGGAACAAGCAAAAAAATGGCCCATTTTTCACCAAAAAAAAAGAGGCATGGATAGTCTTTAGGAAGCTTCTAGAGTGCTGCTGGGGGCGGGGAGAAATGGGCCAGTTTTCACTCATTTCTGCCCTCCCCAGCCCCTAGCAGCTCTCTGAAAGCCTTCTAAAAGCTGTGCATGGCCATTTTGGTGAAGAGGGCGGAGTTCCGGGAGACAAAAAATGCTGTATTCTGTGTATAAGACGTATCCAGATTTTCAGCCTCTTTTATGAGGGAAAAAGGTACGTCTTATACTCTGAAAAATACGGCACATCATACTTTTTATTTAAGTCAGAGTTTATTCCTTACAGCAATTTTGTACATCATGATAAAATAAACTGTATTGTAGCCTATAAATCAGTGTAATATTACAGATGAAACTAATCTCATGGTTAGATTTAATATTCATGAAACAATATTGATACCAGCAAAAGCCGTCCATAAATGTCATTGTTGTCTTCTCTACTATGTCGAAACATAGCTATATTCTTGAAAATTTCCAGGACTATCTATGTAGAAGGAAATGTTGATGTCAGCTTATCATCATGTGCATCCCATTGTTAATGTAGTCAAAGTGTGCTTTTTAAATGTTAATATATGAGTCATTTTGCTGCAGGTACTTTTACTTTTAGTTAGTTACTATAGTTTTTCAGTGTCTCCTAAACTGTAGTTCCTACAGAAATTTTTAACTTCTGAATTTTCTTCTTTGTCAGAATGACAGTCCATATCAAGGCGGTGTTTTCTTTCTGACAATTCATTTCCCTACAGACTACCCTTTCAAGCCACCTAAGGTAAGTAAAAATGGAAACTTAATTTAAAACATTGAATCTCTGCACGGGTAGCAGAGGTGGTATTCAGCAGATTCTGACCAGTTCTGAAGAACTGGTAGAGGAAATTTTGAGTAGTTTGGAGAACCGGCAAAAATACCACCTCTGGCTGGCCCCCCCCCCATCTATTCTCTGCCTCCCGAGTCTCAGCTAATCAGGAGGAAATTGGGATTTTGCAGTAACTTTCCCCTGGAGTGGGGAGGGAATGGAGATTTTACAGTATCATTCCCCTGCCACGCCCACTAAGCCACACCCACAGAACCTGTAGTAAAAAAAAAATTGAATCCCACCACTGATAGATAGGCAACTGTGACCATTGCTAAAGCATTTTGGCTTGCCAAAGAGGCATAACAAAAGAAATAGCTTCTTCAGATCTCTACACTGGTTTACCCTTCAGCTACATTCATATAATTACAGAATTCCTTATTTGCTTTATGATTGTAGCTGCAGTTGCTGTTTTTAGAACATGCTTTTAGGCCTTTATAGATTAATGACAAACTTTATATAGCTAAATACGGAGATTTGGACTGTCATATACAATGTACTGTGGGCTTTTAAAAAACATAATGGCCATTTTTCACTGTTTAGACTACTGACCCTTCTATATTCTTTGAGTCTCATGTGTAACATCATTGTGAATTTTTCTTACCGGCCTGAGAAACATTGTAAAAATAGTTCTGGGAGTTGATTGAAAAGATACATATTTCCAAATGATAAAAAATATAATATTTTTATGTTGATACTTTCCCCAGTACAAAATAGCTCACAGCCCTGCCCATGTAGTTTCAAGTACCAAACCTAGAGAAAGGTGATATAGCATCCATTAGATTTTGCACCAACCCTGAGTATATTTCTGAAGAAACTGACAAGAGTGGTTTTTCTTAATTAGAAAAATAGGGGTTGTATGGAATTGAATTTACATACCTTGTAATGATTCCACTTGTAGAATTACATTGAAAGCTATGCATATTAAAAAAAATAAGTTTATATGCAGTTTAACAAGCAAGCATTTTTCTCTTTGAAATTATTAAGCAGAATTATGTATATTCTAAATATTGAGAACTAGCATTTTTAATCTGAAAAGGATCTGTATATTGATTGCAGATTGATCTCAATTTTTTAGGTTGCATTTACAACACGAATTTATCATCCAAATATTAACAGTAATGGCAGCATTTGTCTTGACATTCTAAGGTCACAGTGGTCTCCTGCTTTAACTATTTCTAAAGGTAAGTGCATTTGGATGAAAGTTTATGTTATTGATTTCTTTGTATTTTATTGACAAGCAGCTTGAATGTGTGTGCTTTATATCTAGATTATACAAAATTTGTCATTCCAGGAACATAATATTCTAGAGAACTCCTGAATCTCTTGTTTCCTCCCAGATCATGTCATTCCAAGGGCAGGTTAGCAAATTGAAATGATTCAAAGTATTCTGGTTGAAAGAGCTATGGTTTGGATTCGAACCACCCAGAGAATTACCTTGCTTCTAGATTGAAGAATTTATTTTGATAATTCTGAATTGCCCATGGAATATGGTTTGAAAGGATTTGTTTTTTAATTTTACAGAATATTTTTTTCCTACATTGACAAATTTTGCACATTCTTAGTACTGTATGTGAGATGGAGTGGCTCAGTGGCTAAGACACTGAGCTTGTCGATCAGAAGGTCAGCAGTTCAGCGGTTCAAATCACTAGGACTGCGTAACGAAGTGAGTTCCCGTTACTTGTGCCAGCTTCTGCCAACCTAGCAGTTCAAAAGCACATAAAAAATGCAAGTAGAGAAATTGGTTGGAAGGTAACAGCGCTCCATGCACCTTCAGAGTTTAGTCATGCCGGCCACATGACCATGGAGACATCTTCGAATAGTGATGAGCACTGCCCCTAAAGCCAGAAATGACTATCACGCACGTGCAGGGGAATTTTTACTTTTAGTACTGTATGTACTAGAATTTGTCTTACTTTCCTTTCTATTTTAGCATGATATTTGACTGTTAGTTTGAGGCAACTATCCACCAGTACTTTTCCTAGCCATGCAGTTGTCCCACAGATTTCTCTCCATTTTTTCAGAAAAAGATCCCAAAAATATTAATAGGAAGAGAGTTATATGAACAAAGTGGAATTCAATTCAAGGTGTTTAGCTTCAGTTGATGCTTGAACTGTGCAGTCACATGGTGAGGCTGTTGTGCTTTTTGTAGTTTTACTTCCCTATCACATCATTATTGTTGTTATTAATTTTATACAATTGTTCCATGTTCTCACTGATGTTAAAAACTGCCAGTCCCTGTTGAAACAGAACAGATATCTCTAAGGCATAAGGCTCAGTCATTAAAGAGAAGCTGAGTGGCTTTTTGCTAGGCAAAGCAATTAATTTTATTTTTTAGACCTACACGGCTTTAACATTACCAAGGAGCCAAAAAATCTTGATTTGGCATGCAGATCAGTGAGCCCTATGAATTCAAACTCAAACAATTTGGTTTATCGAAATATTCAGAATAGTATGGTGCAGGGTTACATGGGGGCCGAACAAACTAAGTATAACGTTCCTGGTCATCAAGTTAGGCTGGTTTTTTTTTTTAACCTAGAGGCAATCTTTTTGAAGTAAAATAAATTGGACTGTTTGTTCTACTTGCACATGCAGAAGTAAATAACTTGTTCTTTGAACTATTTACAATTTTCTATATGCTCTTTTCTATTTGTTTCAGTTCTCTTATCCATTTGTTCACTGTTATGTGATCCAAATCCAGATGATCCCCTAGTGCCAGAGATTGCGCGCATCTATAAAACAGACAGAGACAAGTAAATATAACTTTGGGGTTTTATTGGGGGGGGGGATGATATAGTGGTGAAATGTGATTAGAGAACAGTTGAGTAATGGCTGCTGTTTAAAACAGAATTGAGTAAAATATTTGTGTGTTTTTTAATCTAGAAAGCTTTAGTAGCATGCTAGAATAGAATTTTACACTATACAAAATTACTTTCAAGTTTAAAATTGCTATGGACAATTTATAAATGAGAACACTGCTAATAGTTTTGAGTTGGGTGGAACAAAAGTTGCGTGCTACTTTGATATTTCTCTTTCAAACTAAATTAGTTACATCAAAATGATCTATTAGTAATTTTGCTTTGTGTTTGCAATTAAATCTGCCAGATAAATTTAATAGGGCTGTATTGGCTTGTCTTTGTTACTAAATATACTTATCTAATTAGGTACAATAGGTTAGCAAGAGAGTGGACAGAGAAATACGCTATGCTGTAGGGTAAGACTGCACTTCATAGTGCATTAATGATGTGGGTACTTCAGCACTTGAGTGCAGCATGCTTAAGGCACTGGATTAACTAACAAAAGATTGTTCAAATTACTGAAAATACAAAGTTTTAACTGCTTGATTTGTATTCAGTGTGGGAAGCCTATCTGCATGATTAGATGAGTATAGTCAAATATTTAAAGGTTTTGTAGATATTTCTTGGTTCTGGAGAAATGCACTTAGGTGGTAAGTGTTTTGGATCCTATTCAGCACAAATGTGACGCTACTTATAATTTAAACTATTTGGCAGATTAAATTCAGAAGTAAAAAAGCCTATAGGCATGTATAGGTAGACACTAACATAATAACGGAGCATGTAAATTAGCACTGACTTGATTTCAGTGGAGTTCTGCACAGTTCTCTCACACTCCGTGCTTATGTGAGAGGCTGATTATATTTAGTATCTAAGGGTTGGTTTTGTGATGTTTGTGTGAAGTTTTGCTAGAAAAAAAAATCCACTTATACTTGCATATTACGTGATTTCTAATATGCAATACTGTGTACTTTTATATACTAGATCAAAATTGGCAAGTGTGCTTTGTCCAGAATCCACTGCAAAACTTTAAAAAGTGGCAAAAATATTATGTTGATGGTTCGCACTCTTATTAATGCTATCCAAATGCCCAAGTGAATACTGGAGTTGATACCAGCTAGTAGAATTGTTTTGAATCATAGGAAATTATAGGGACAATACACATCAAGAATTCTGATTTCCTGGTTTTTATATTCTCTTTTAACACTTTTAATCAAATAAATTAAGTAATCTCATTCAAAAAGCAAGATATAAAAATTGTCTCGCTTTTTGAAATGAATTACTCAATTTATCCTAAAATTTTGAATAAGAATATTATGTACTAAGAAAAAAGCTAAACTTTTAAAGAGAATATGGCTTTTTTACATGACCACTTGGTAAAACCTCCCTTCACATTTTCAGAAAGCCAAGTAGATTTTCTTCATTGGTAACCATTTTCAAAATGATGTGGGGTATTCCTGTTATTGACTTATATATTGTTTCTGTTTTAGAAAAAAATTTTTTTTTTCAGATTTCATTGGAATACATTAAATATTTTGTAAAGTTAGTATAAGTGATTATGTTCAGGAGTTACTGCAAAGAACTATGTAATGTCAGATCAAAACTTTATTATAGTCAAAGGTTAGCACAGAGCCTCATAATATGTTACATTTTTATTGCTGGCTCAGATTTTTTTGATATGTATGTATATCTATATGTAACATATAGATAATATTTTTTAAAAATTCAACCTTTTTAACAAGCATTTTTTTCCTTTTCAAGGTACAACAGAATATCTCGGGAATGGACTCAGAAGTATGCCATGTGATGCTACCTTAAGTCAGAATAACCTGCATTATAGCTGGAATAAACTTTAAATTACTGTTCTTTTTTGATTTTCTTATCCGGCTGCTCCCCTATCAGACCTCATCTTTTTTTTTTTTTTTTAAATTTACCTCTATCCATTCATGCACATGCTCATCTGAGAAGACTTTAGCTCTTCCAGCTTTGGACAATAACTGCTTTTTAGAATTTGTAAAGTAGTTATACAAGAACAATTGCCCAAGATTCAGAATTCTTTAAATGGAGCATGTGTGTTGTGGCCAATGTCTTCACTCTAACCTGGTTATGAGATTGAAATCATTCCTCACTGCTCTAACAGTTCTTCTGAAGATATCACCCAAAGGGAGGGGAGATGGATGTTCAGTTTGCTCACATCACAGGAAATAGCATTGCTGTAGCTTCATCCATCTTGTTTTAAAACCTTCCAGTGTTAGAGACTGAGGTTTCATGACATACTTGTGCTCATAACTGGTATGGCTGGAGAATTGGTACAGAACTTGTAGCATCATCAGAACAGAACACGTGATGTATCTTATGCATGTCAATAAAGGAATGACCAGTTCTTGTTCTACAGAGAATGGAGATTGGAAGTCCAACATCCCTTGTATTCCAAAATAGGGTATCGGAACATTTTTGTAATTCTCATTTAAATTTTGTTAGGATGCTTGGAGCTATTAGTTAATCTATCTTCCACAGCAGTTTAATATAGCACTGAATAAATGATGCAAGTTGTCAATGGATGAATGATCAACTAATAGCTCTCCTAGTAATTGATTTTATTTTCTTCAATAAAGTTACATAAACCAATGAGTTAGCTGCCTGAATTAATCAGTATGGGAAACAAAGTCTTTTGTAAAAGCAAAGGTGGTTTTTGTATATACTTGTTGGGATTTGCCTCATTGTTTGACATCAAATAATGATGTGAAGTTAGTAGAGTGAACCTTTTGCCATGTTCAGTTATAATACTTGGTCTGTCTTCAGGTTGACACATTGATCAGCCCTGGAATATGCAGAATTAATAAGCTAACCTAGTAGTGTAGACTTTAGTGAGCTACACAAGGTCCTGGGAACCAAGTTTCCAATTACAGACTTGGAATCCAGCTGATTATATGTACAGGTGTATTGTGGAGACTTCACCATATGCACCCAGCTTGCTAACTGAGAAGCATTTCTTCGCCTTGTATACTTGACAGCTGAAAGATCTTTTTGTGGGAGTAAAGAGGCAAAATTGCAAAATAAAGTACTGTTTTGATGTGGGAATTGTCATGAGGTTGTGTTGAAGTGACTTTTCAATGTGGGATGTTTGCTGTCCAAAGGATTATCATGCTACCACCAATATTAACAAACATTTTTGCTGCAAGGGTCACTATTTCAGGGTGACTTCAAATTAATAAAATCATTGCTACAGTGTTTTCTGTTTTAAGAAGCACTGACTTGTGCCACTAATTCTTGTTTGATAATTATGGATTTTATCCTTTCTGCATCCTAATTTTATCTCCATCCAGGTCTACACTTCAGTATTTGCTAGTCCTGTGCTATGAGTGTGTGCTTCTGCCACTTCTACTTCTATCTCTAGCACTACTGTGTGCATCCTATGTTTTTTCCTCAACATAATTTTGAAAATATCATTGTAAAAATAAATGTAGACTATACATTTTATGAAAGGGGAACAGGTTTGGCCATGATTTGTTTCAACCTTTTTTTAAAATCACATTTTGGTGAATTCAGTTTTGTCAGTGTTCCACCCAAGTGCTTTTGGATATATTACGATGTAAGTAAAAACAATTTTACAGAGTGAGGAAAGATTACTTGAAGAATCAGGGCCAACAATTAAAATAAGGCTCCTTTGTTAAGTTTGCAATAAAATCCTTAATTATAGGAAACATGGCATTTTTACTAAAATGTTGCTAAGGTAGCCTTCTTCAACTTGGTGCCCTTTAGATATGTTGAGATTATAGCTTCCAACATATCTGGAAAGCCTATTTCTATTGCCTTCAGATGATGTAATTTACATTTTAATCTCATACAAGCTGACTTCTAATGTAACACTGATTGCTTATTATATAATCTCTGCATAACTGATAGAAAAACATTTCACAGTTCAACACTGATTGCTTGCTAGCTTAAACACATAAGACTTGATTGTCATGTAGTTGTAATTACAGAAGAATCCTTGCCTTTCCTGAAGCATTTTAAATTCTATGGCATGCTATATAAGCCTCTTTTCCCTTCCTCACATGCTTGACAAAATAACAAAACTCATAGGTTGAATAAACAATAATCATTATTATTTAATAATTATAGGTCACAGTTGGTTATTCTGCTGTATAGTCTTACTCATAAAGGCCAGGAACGTGCGTGGATTAGATTTTCTGTATAAATGCCTATTTCAGAATTCACTGCTTTCCTACACTCGGTTTATAATTCCAAGACCTTTGTACTGCTTAACATTTATGTTTGGAAAAGTTTCAATAACTTACCTAGCCTTGGAAAAGAATTGATTTGGTTCTATTTGATTCTATCCTATCGGAGTGTTTAATAAATACAAAAAGAGTGTCACGACATCTACTTTTCATCATTGACCAATGCTTGGAGGATGGCAAAATAAGACTGCTATCCTCAGATCATTTTGTCTACCAGTGCAGTAGTGATGTGGAGGTCATGTAGATGTAGTTCGTTCTGCAATACATCAAATGAGGCATCTGGCTTTTTGGCATGGCCCTAATCGGTCTTGGAATCATGTTATAGTCCTAGTGTACATGTCAACCAGGCAAGCAAAATAGAATTCCATTTTGCAGTGCAAATAGATAAGCCTCATTTAGCAACCACAATTGGCAAACAAGTCATCAAATGAATACAGTGTGCTTATTTTCAGGATCCCTGAATACCAAAATTTTCTTTGCTTTACAGGGGTTGTCACAGGGATTGGTCATAAAGTTGCTTGCAGTCATAACAAAACAAGGCAGTTACTAAACAAGAACTACTGATATTTTAATTTTTTTCTCACAACCTGGTGTTGGGATTTAGTTTGTGTGATCTTAACACTCATATACATATTCACGCACACCAGGCATTGTTATTAGCAGTAATACTACATTGGATTTTTAACTAACTATCCTCTCATTTAAGATATTAGTATAGGTCTTAATTCAACTCATGCATTCCTTGCTCTCCTATTTCCTAGAAATAATTTGGCAGAGTCAACTTTCTTTTTATAGATGAGACTAAATTATCTTCAGGGCCATGTTACATGCTTAAGTAGTTTTCAGTAACTAAAAGAGAACAGGCTTTCTGTTTACAATATAATATAGTACTGGTTTGACTAGCTTTAAATTTAACTCTAGTATTATGATTTTATTGACTAACCTGTTAAGTGGCTCCAGAGCGTTTCGTAGTGGGTTGATCACTCTTTATTTTTGGCATTAGATATGAGCTGTACGTATGTAGCACTCCTGCAATTGTTCAGGTTTTTCTACTGAGCAGAGAAATTGCCTTGCTGTGAAGAAACTGGTGCCGAGTTTTTGTTACATCCCTATGCTATTCAGTTAATCCTGGAATATTGAAAATTGCAGGTTTATGATAAAAGTGACTACTGACCATGCCATTAGGCGTATAAACCATTTATACATTAGGTCAAGTCTGAACTTTTGAGAGTAGACTGCTTACAAAATACATCTTGAAGTTGTCCTTGATTTTTCCTAAGTTGAAGCATGACTGTTAGAATATTAATATAATGTGGGATGTACTGAAAGCAACTTCCATACGTGATTTGCCTTTCATTAAATGTCCATGTTGCTTTTTTTGGAATAATCAGACCTGTTAAATCTGGATAACTACATCTGAGAAACTGAAAAATACTCCAAATTGGGTGTTGCTAAATCAGAGCTTCCAGCAGCTTTGCTACTGTGGTCTATAGGAAGAGTTGTTGGCATTTGTACAGCTGACTTCAAGTATCCTACTGCTCTTCTGTGTAACTGCACCAGGCAAGGAAGTTGCTAAATGTAATCAAGATAGAACCCAATTTAAGAATACTTAGATCAGTCATTTCATCCAAGGAATTAAACTTTAGGCTTGTTTTATAGCCTCAAGTGGAAAGGACAACAGTATTTTAGCCTAATTTAGGATTAGAAAAATATTTCTTTGAAATGTAAAATTAAACTTTTTTTTCCAAATTCTGCTTCTATAATACTACAAAATGATGTGGTTAAAGTTCTCTCTAAAACCCAACATGGCACCAGTCAGGATGGCTTGATAGATCTCTTTTCCCAAGAATAGCCATCCCAATCATTCTAGTAGGGTGGGCAGGCATAGGATTCCTCCCTTGAAGTCCCACCAGGTGGGAACCAGAAGGGGTGCCATTTAGATAACAGTGCCTGACTTTTGGAATAATTCCACATGTCCAATGCTTCATTGGTCATGACCCTGCCAGTCTTTAGGAAAAAATTGCAGTCCCCACCCTCCCTTGATATTTGGAGTGATCAATGTCCCCACAGGAAGAATGTGTGAATATAACCTAGTTTGCCTATTATTCTCCTTCCCTCCCCCTCTCTTTCTAAATATGAAGCCCAAAGATAAAACAATATTTTAATGTGTGGCTATTATTTTTTGCTAGCTGTGGAAATTAACACAAATGGTTCAAAAAAAGATGCATGTTTTGACTTAAGCATCTGCTAGAACCATTTCTGGTTGACTGAAACGGCTTTAGGAGATTTGCTCAGTAAATTAAAAAGCTGTACTGTGAACAACATTTCCACCCAGGGCTCTTCAAATTTCTGGAAAGAAGCATTTGGGCATATACTTTTCAATCAAGTTGTGACATGAGAAGATACATACATGTGGTCAATTGGAATCATGATGGATTGCTTTTCCCAATTATATAGAGTGTATCAAAAGACCCCCCCAATGCATTAAATGTTCCAATTGGCAATTTTCATCTCAACACTTATTTTCTTGGCACAGGTCCTTTGAATATTCCTACCAGTAAATACATTCAATATGGGGAGGGGGGAACTATTGTTGCCCTGGGGGTGGTGGTGTGAGTTTTGGTACACTCTATATGTGGCATATGAAATCAATTTATAATACTCTAAAAGACATGTTCTTAATGGGTTCTTTGTTAGTTTTGGTTTGGCCCATTCTAATCAAGGACAATATTAGCTGGCCTGTGTGTTTATAAAAGTTCTCTGACAGCAGTAAGTAATGGGTGTAGCCTGGCAGGGCAGTTACATCCAACTACATCTGTATTTAGGACATGTTGAAAATTTCTATCCTGAATACTTCACAAATGTAACAAAAAAGTATTAGATAATTGGTACACTAATAATTAGGATTGCAACAAAAAAAAGAAATGAATTTTGTGTGAGAAAAATATGAAAAACTACCAGGACAAGCATGCTATAAATCTAGAGACTTTTTTTGTCCTGCAGATTTTAATCTTTCACTTCTTCATTTAAAAAAAATCCTTTTTTAAGGAACAGCCCAAGTCACTTTCTGTTTTAATAGCCACAAACTCTATAACTAGTTGTGTTAGTTTTGTTTTTCCATTAAAAGCACTACAAAGTGTTGGTATGTGCTCTTTTGGGGCTTTTTGCTAGATTATTGCCATTGAAATTAAATGGAAAATAAAACCTTAATAATTTTTGGCTTTAAAGATTATGGAAGAATCATACAGATTTTCATGGGAACTCTGAAGCATGAAAACACAATTCTGATTTTATACAAAAAGGAAAACCTTTTGACTTGCACACGAACAGCCCATCAAAGCAGCTTCTTAAAATTTCAGGAATGCTACAGTTGCAGGAATAAATTTCAGACTAATTTCATACATGTACGAAGACTGACAGATAAAACAGTATTAGTTTACTAAATATGACATTCCTTAATGGTATTTCAGATCATTTTACAATATAAATATAAACGAGAGAAACTCTTTAAAAATCCATAAAACAATATTAAATAAAGCCCAATCATATTGTTATAAAAATTAAAGTTTGTAAAACACAGTCCTGGGCTATAAGTCATTTGAAAGACCTCTATAAATATAAATGCACTGAGCACCAAACAGATAGCAATAGCACTTAGACTTATATACCGCTTTACAGTGCTTTAAAGCCCTCTTTAAGTGGTTTACAGAGTCAGCTTATTGTCCCCCAACAATCTGGGTCCACATTTTACCCCCCTTGGAAGGATGGAAGGCTGAGTCAACCTTGAGACTGGTAAGCTTTGAACTGGGAAATTGCAGGCAACCGGCAGTCAGCAGAAGTAGCCTGCAGTACTGCACTCTAAACCACTGTACCGTTGAGGCTCATCATAGGGTGTGTGCAAGTACTGTCTCCAGAGCTGCATAACAAGCAAAAGCCAAAAGCCTCTTCGATAGCTACTTCCAATCAATTGGCCAGGAGCACCCAAAA